GTTTTTTGGGGGCAAACCTATTTGTCCCTCTAGTTTTTCCACTTTTTTGTGCATTCCCTCATTCAGGTAGTTTCATCTCTCACCAGGAATTTTCTGACATTTGTGAGTCCTTATATTGATGCTATCATTATTATTCCTTACACTGAGACTGTGATTGTTATTCTCTTACTGATAAATTATAAAACTATGTTGAAAAAGTAGCTGGAAATGCACAGGAGGAATTGACAGTGCTGACCAACCCATTCAAAATTGTTGCCAATTGTGTCAACCTGACCTGCAATTACTTTTCTCAGAGTTGCATATCAGGTTACATCATAGGTTACAGTGTAGGGATGTTATTGGTGGACACACCACTAAGACTGGAAATGCAGGGGCTACCAGGACACAGATGGTTATCTACTTACCTAGTTAACTTCATAAGAAATTTTAGTGATCTGTTTTCTTATTATTCTGTCCAGGTCAATAACTTTGTGGTTTTTGAAGGCTTCTTCCTCAACAGAGCAGGTAACTTTTTTGCCACTTTGATCCCATTGCTGTGGTTCTGCAAGCGATTATTAAATTATATCTGCTTTGTGTTAACATAAGTTATAAGGTGTCTCCCAACAAGCAGCTCCAAAAATGAAATTCTTACTGGTGAAGCCTGTGTTTTCTTAGCATTCTTGATATTTCTGGATATGTTAATCAACACTGGTGGTTCAGTACAAGAACAGTATGAGTTCAGTTATATAATACTTAACACACTACATCTAGTAGTTTTAAAGTAAACAGGTGCTTAGATACAAAGTAAACACACAAAGTTTTGTCACATGTGTCTTTGTGGAAGAAAAAAAGCCACCTGCAGTAGATTCAGTGGGTAGAGCAGGTCATCTACTAATTGGAAGGTTGGTGGTTCAATCCCTGACTGCCCCACTCTGTGTGCCAAATATTCTTAGACAAGATACTAACCCCAACTTGTTTTGTGATTCATCGATTGATGTATGAATATGTGCTTGTGTGAACAGATGAACAAGAGAAGCTGCATAGAGTGCTTTGGGTGCTCAGGTAGAATAGAAACGCACTATATAAGCGTTTCCAGTGGGGGAATCATTTCGTCGCTCATCCAAGTGTCTTCATCAATCTCACCTGACTGCAGGTTTCTCCAACCTTAAACAGCATTTGCATAATGACTGAAACTAGCACCACTGACTGCAGGTTTCCCCAATCAGCTGCGGTTGAAGAAGTCACTTGGATGAGTAATGAAACATTTCTCCTATGGAAATGCTACGTACAGATGAACATAATCAGCTTGTGGGGATTTCCTTACCTGGATGATTGAGCATGCATCAATGATTCAGTAAAAAGGACTAGATGTTACAGTCCCTGATAATGCATTGCTTTAGATGGAGAGACTCTTGAGGGATGGCTGTTATGAGGAAAGGCAGCCCAGAAACTTTGCCAGCAGCACGCATCGTTGTGTGCCTCAACTTTCGGTCTTTTACCCAGGCTAATCTGCCATTTTCTTTCCTTGGTTAGGTTTAGGGATTAGAGATCTGATCTAGTTTATCATTTTAAAATTTGGTACACATCGTCAGTAGTGGACCTTTGATTCATCGGGTGTTTCGGCCATTATCACTAGACACCCTCATCCAAGGAGGCCCTGCCAGGGTTGATCAGGCCCTGGAGTGTGTCACTGGTTTATGTTAACTTGTTATTTCTCTTCTTCTTTCTTCTGTTTAGTTTCCTACAGTTTATTTTTTATCTATTCACTGCAACTGAGAAATAATACTTACCTCTTCAGCATTTATGGAGCCTAACATCTTCAAAGGGATAGAAAAGGTGACAGAGACAAAAGGGACAAGATAGGAGAGAGGAGAGCCAGAAGGGGGCGCCTGATCTGGCTTCCCACACCTCCCCGCCGGATCGGGCTGTACGCTCTACCTCCCCACTGCCTCCCAGAAAAGGGAAGAAGAGTAGAGGGGAGAAGAGCGGAATATTTCTTTTCTCTCGCGGTTAGCTGACTGCCTTAGCTGCCCAAGTGATGTCAGCCCTTTTTAACCATAGCCAGTGACTGGTCCTCTGATCCCAATCTCTCTAAGCAGCTTTGCTGTTGTGCTGGCAACAAAGACCCTGCACCCCACTTCCACCGGGCGCACTTTGATCTTCCAGCCTCTGTCCTCTGCCTCAGCTGCCAAGTTGGCATACCGCAGCTTCTTACGCTCAAACACTTCCTCAATTGCTTCCTCCCATGGTACCGTCAGCTCAGTGACGTACGCAAGTTTTGGGGGTTAGACTAAAGGACGAGGTCTGGTGGCAAAGTTGTTGTTACGATCTCTGTGGGAAAAATTAGCCTCTGATCCAAGTCCACTTGCATCTGCCAATCCCTAGCAACCTTCAGCGGGCCCAGGTCTGGGGTTGAGGGGCTTGTCCTCAGCTTGTCTCCTTCCCGGACAAATGTTGATGAAAACTGACGCTCCTCTTGGTTCGTGAAAGGTTGAGCTTTGATGGATTTTCTTTTGCACGCAACTTTCTCTGCTAGACACCTGAGGACCTGGTTGTGTCTCCATATTTATCAGCCCTGAGTAAGGCTAGACCAACCAAGATGTGCTTGAGTGTTGCTGGGACTGTACAAAGGGGGCAGGATGGGTCCTTTCCAAACCACAGCTGCAGATTTATTGGGGAAGGTAGCACATCATATGTCGCTCGGATGATGAAACTTAGTCTATTAGACTCCATGCCCCAGATTTCACTCCATAAGAGTTTCCTCTTTTCCACACTCTCCCAATTCACCCAGTGAGATCTCAAGCCTCCTCAACCAGGCTAGGGATAGGCAATGACAGTATCCCGTCGCTGTAGAGTCCAATGCTGCTGAGGCATTTGGGAAGTCCAAGCCACTTCTTAACGTAGGAGCTCACTAGCCTCTCTAGTCGATTGGCATGATTGAGTGAGACCTCGTACATTGTCAACGGCCACAGTAGTCTGGGTAATAACCCAAACTGGAAGCACCAGAGCTTCATTTTCCCTGGGAGTGCAGTGTTGTTAATCCGCTTGAGGTCATCAGCCAAGTTCTGCCTTAGTTGTTCTAGTTGCCACGTATCATTGAGGTCTGCATTATACCACCGTCCCAGGCTCTTTATGGGCTTCTCTAAGACTGCTGGAATTGGTTCTCCACTGATATAGAATTGCTTGGCTGTCAGCTTTCCTTTTACAATGAGTATATAAGAACCTTTAGATATGCAAGTTTAAACGTGGCACTCAACCCAAAAAGAGTGCTGCAGTGCTTTTATTCCAGTTCCAAAATATTTTGTTTCATCAAACTCTCCCAGGGTCAACCTCTTCTCCTCTGAGGGATCAGAGGGTGTACAGCTTTTTGTAAGGACTGTTCTTTCTTTTTTTTTTTCCCTCATACATCTTGGTCCCATTCCTCTGTCCCATAATTAGTATAACTTCACACGTCAGTGCTTACGTTTCAGGTTAGCTTTCCCATCAGTGTAAATACAGTGAGGAAAATAATCATTTAATCCCCTAATGAACTTTTAGGTTTGCTCATTTACAAAGAAATGAACAGTCTTAATGGTAGATTCACTTTGACGGAGAGACTGAAGATCAACCAAAAATACAGAAAAATTACACAAGAGAAAATTAATTTTTAGGCCATTGAGTGAAAAAAGTATTGGATTCCCAAGCTAAACTTGATTTATTACTTGGTGGAGAATCCCTTGTTTGCGAGCACAGCGGTAAGGCATTTCTTGTAGTTGGTCACCAGGTTTGCACACATTTTGGCCCACTCCTCTTTACAGAAAGTTTTTTGCTGCCACTTGACAGCTCCTTCCACAGATTTTCTATAAAACCGAAGTCTGGAGTTTCACTAGGCATTATCTGAATGTGCTCTACTTCTTCTTGGAACAGGGGAACTTATGTTTTGTTTCATTAGCATGCTGAGACAATGACTTGACAGTGACAATGACAGAATTAGTGTTCTGTCTGGGAGAAGGTTTGTTTTGTCCTAGATTTTACAGTATGTGGTAAAATTGTTCCATTGCAGAAAAACAGCCCCAAAGCATAATATTTTCTCTTCCATGCTTGACTGTGGGGATGGTGTTCTTTAAGTCATATTCAGCATTTCTCTTTCTTCAAGCATGGCGGGTCGAGTTAATGCCGGAGAAATCAGCTTTGGCTCCTGATGATAGTACTTTATCTCAAGCCTTCTCTGAGTCATTTAGATGTTCACTGGCAAACTTAAGACCTGTATGTGCGGCTTCTTGTGGCAGGCGCCCTTGCGGGTGCAGCAAGAGTTCAGTCCATTAGGGCGTAGTGTTTTACTAATTGTGTTTTTGGTGACTGTGCTCCAAACTGCTTTCAGATCATTAACAAGCGCCTGCTGTGGAGTTTTGGACTTCATTAGCTTACAGTCATCCTGCATGGAGTTCCAAAATGGGAGCAGACTGAGATTGATGTTGGTATGACTGAGCTCATACCAACAGCTGTCACCTTCTCACCAAACCTCTTGATTATGATCTACCATTCCAACCTTGTGCAGGTCTACGGTCTTGTCCCTGACATCCTTTGACAGCTCTTTGGTGTTGCTGGTGGTGGAGAAGTTTGAATGGAAGAAACTGATTCTGTGGGCAGCTGTGCTTTTTTGCTTGATATCCTTTCTTTCTACATTAAAGTGAAATTTCTATAATATTTAGAGACTGTTCATTTTTTTGTAAGTGAGCAAACTTACAAATTCAACAGGGGATTAAATCATTATTTCCCCTACTTTATCTCCTTGCTACATTGGTACAGTATATGGCATGTGTGATGTATCATGTCATATATTGAACCTACATTCCTGGGTTTCAGAGAACTGCAGAGAGAAATCCACACCCTGTATACCACTCCTAAACTCCACAGACCACTTGATACCTGCTTGTTTCCTGAACCTCCAATGTGTCACTTTGTTAAAAACAGCTAAAGTGTGTTGTATGACTACATTATTGTAATGACTGCGAGCAGTAAGATCATGGTTGGGGAGATTGGTAGCCTCTTTATACTGCATTTTGTTTACCTCTGACATCATTAGGATGGCTTTATAGTGTAGAACAGGACGAGATGCCAAGCAAAAATCATTTTAAGAAACACTTTTGACCTTTTTGAGCTTCATGGTAGTAACATAGTTTTGTATTTACATTCCATTGTGCCCCCTGTTGATAGTTGACGCTCATCTGCCTCAAATTACCAAATTTAATTAATAGTCTTTGACATAGAAGTTGATAGCACAGAACCACTAATACATTACCTTCCTTAAGCTGCATTTGTATGCCCAGCATATGACACTCAAAGGAATTAATAAACTGACACAAACGTGAATATAGGTTTCAGGATTAGCTGAATCCAAGGAAGCCATGTTTTTCCACCGCGTGCCGCTCCGTTTAGACGAGCATTGGAAAATTATACAAAAGCTAACATGTTGTGATTTACATAAACATTGGGCACAAAGTGATTATAAAGAAGTGAATGTATAAAATGTCTTGTTGTTATTATGACGAGTCTTATACAGAGGCTACCAATCCTTTCAACCAGAGATGTGCTCTTTTTGTGCCAAAGGTACCTGAAAGAATTGTCTTTATAGTTAAAACAGCATGAGTAGGCTAAAAACAGACTTGCAAATAAAAAACAAAATTTAAATATTGGATTCTGGCTAACTCAGACTGCTCAGGTAACAGAACAAAAACAAGACTTTGCCTGGCTGAATCAAATACAGTGGAACCCCGGCTTACGAAGACCCCATTTAACGAAAAATTCAAATTACGAAGGCACGTAACGGCAATATTTTTGCCTGCGGTACGACAAAATGCCCGTGTAACAAAATCCGTTTGCAAAATGCGTTTCGCTGTTCCACGTGAAAGACGTATTGTTGTTGCAGTGCGCTATTTCATGTGCTTTTGTTTTGCAAGTAGCCTATCGTTGATTCATAATGGGGCCGGCATAAGGCATAAATATGAGTGAGTTTAAAAAAATGTTAAATAATTATCATTGCACAGCGTACGTACGTGTATTAATTAACGTAAATGTAAGTTTTAGTTTTAAAGTTTAGAATTAAATTCCATAATGTTATGTACATGTACACGTACATATGTATGCATGCCTACGTATGCTTTCTTCAGCCTCCACCAAGAACTTCGTCTTCAGCCAGCATCGCCTCACTCAAAAGGCGATGGAAAAAGGTGCTTCGACGAAAATTTTGACTTACGAAAGACCCTCTGGAACGAATTAATTTCGTAAGTCGGGGTTCCACTGTATATAAATTTTATATATTTATTGACGTCCAAAACAATCATGTCAGGAACAGTCTGCATTGATTTTTAGAGAGAATATTTCACTCGTCTGAGCTGCTGGTTTTGTCAGCACCAATATATGAATTCTGTTTGACAGTGGATCCTCCCTTTCACAGACACAACACTATCTTGTAAGATAAAGTAGAAATAGTTCTTTCAGAGGAAACATTGTTTAAATGTATGGAGGAGCACAACTGTCTGACTAAATGAATAAATCAATATGCCATTAAATTATTATGTAATATTAATTTTTAAAAAAGTTACATAAATTAAAAGGTAGTTTTCCTACCTTTTAACATTCCAACTCACTTTTCCATTTTTGGTATTTTTTTAGAGTCACCCACTGACCAGTCAGTCATAAGAATCAGCTAGTTTACAGCATCAGATTCGTCTGATGTATCATGCATATGCACTGCAGTCTAAAGTTCACCTGTTTAGAAATGTAACTGCAAACCACTTAGCACAAGTGTTATGTATGCCATGGATACATGTGATATATGTCAGCATATTACAGAAGAGGGACCTGTAAGGCTGTGGTTCCCAAAGTGGGGGTCGCGCCCAGCTGTTGGGAGGGGGGGGGGTGCAGTATGAATAAAGAAAGAATGGTTGGACACATAATGGACAGGTTTTTGATGAAGCATGTCTTCACTTCTCATAATGACTAACTACTCCTGAAACTTGGCTCTTATGAAATGAATGTGTTATTTATAATATAGACAGTTTTGGTCTTCCATACAGAGCTTATGAAGGACAGTATGTGGGGCTGTGCTGTAAGGAGACGGGTGGGGTGATCGACTCGTGTTCCTCTTCTGCCTCTGCTCTGAGTTTGTTCTCCTCTGCAGCGGCCCAGTTGAGAAAGGTTCCCCCAAAAAAGCCAGACGGAGAGATCAAGCCTTACTCTTTAATGGAGAGAGAAGGTAAACAGTCACATAGTGCCACTTTGCCATAACCAAGTGTTGACATTAAACATTAAGACTCTATTCCAAGTACACGGTCATAAGAAAGCACTTGTTTCCCTTGTCAGTAACACTAATATAAACTGTGGAAATAAACAGAAATGTGCTGGAAAAAAGCTTCCACAAATCCTTTTATGGTAAGTCTGAACATTGAAGAATGCACTGGAGCTGATCTTCCTCTATAGACCAGAACACGTAATACCAATAAAAATCTTATACACTAACTCAGCAAATGCAGAGTAAATTGTAGGTTATAGCATGTTAGCGCTGACACTCAAAAAAGTAATGTATTACACATTACTTGTCTAAAAATAATACATTTTGTTACTTAACTTCCTTGTAACTTTGTGTTGCTCCTTACCATGGCTTGAACTGCATTGTGATATGATTATCAGTTGAAAATATAAATGTTAGTCTCCAGTCTTACACATAATGATGGCTATGGGTAGAAGATGAACCAGCTAAAAGTGCAAATTCAAGAAGCTGATATTTGTAGCCAAGGAGCAAGGCTTCTTGCTTTCCAAAGTTTGAAAAATGTTATAAAATTGTTGTTGTTTTTGTTTTTTTTGGGGGGGGTTAAAGGTGAGCTTTTACCAAGCACAGAGCCTATAAAATATGATGCTCTCAATTAGTGCTATTAGTATGTACATATTTTTTTTCTGTCTAGCTGTTCGCCAGGAGCAGAAGAGTCTTCCTTGGCCGTTTGCTCCTCCCCACTCCCCCCAGCGCTCGGTAGCCTCCCAGTGGTCCAAATCCCTCAGCGTGGGATGCTCCCCCAGCAGGGCACCCCCTCGAGTCACTCCAACTTCTTCCCCTGGTTGCAACAGGAACCAGAGCCCACAGTCACCTCTCAGCGACCGCTGCAGAGCAAGACGCACCAGGTAAGAAGTAACGCACTTCTTTCTGTAAAATTCACCTGCAACTGCATTATGGAAATCTATATTTTACACATCTTAACATCATGTCAAGGTCAGTTACTGCAAATGAAATTTGCCCACAGTTTCAGCCTCAGTAACAAAGAAAAGCTGGATCTGTGAGAAGAAACACTTAGCAGACAATCTGCAAATGTTGTTCCACCTGTGTAGAGGGTGCCCGGTTTAGACGAAGCAGGATTACACCGCTGTCATTCCCACAGTCAGTTGTTTACATGGACCGCCTTTATGTCATCCTAACACTAGCATCTTTTTCTGTCACACGAACAATGTGCACGCCATCCTTGACTAAATTCATAGACTTCCTCTAAAGTCTTCCTATTTTCCTCCTGCCTAGTGGCTCTATTTTCAACATCCTTTGTCCAGTATGTCCACTGTCCGTCCTCTGAACATGCCCAAATCGTCTCAACCTCTCTAACCTTTTCTCCAATCCGCTCTGATATACTAATATTTAATCCTGTTCACTCTGGTCTCTGCCAATGAAAATCTTAACATCTTCACCTCTGCCACCTCCAGCTTGGCCAGCTGTTTTTAGGTTAGTCGCGGCTGAGACCATTTCTGATGAGGTTTACATAGATGGTGCAATTAAAAGGCCAAATTCCTCTTTCAGGTTCCAACTTTCAGATGCTGTTCATCTGCTGTAGGTAGTTTTTTAGGCTAGTTTAATAAATGGCCTCAAAAATGCAAATAAATGCTGTTTTATCTGTGAATCTGTTGTTTTATTCACATTTGTCTGTTTTTGTCGGTTCTGTGTAGATACAACACTGTTATAGGTGCTTTATACATAAATGGGTCATATATATAATATGAATATAATAAATAAGTGTAAGTGGTATGTTAATAGCACTAATAGTTGTGTAAAGTTGTATAAATTGTATGTGTACTCTTGAATGCATGGTTAAAGTGGCCACTAAGACCAGCAGCAAAACTAGTCAGATACTGTTGTTCTGAGTAGAACAAGGTCCAGATCTCTCACTGTAGTGATTAGTGGCTCGAGTTTTCCTGTAATTTGTAATTATTTTGCTGACCGACTCCTTTCATTCTCTCCTTTCTCTTCTCTTTCCCCTTTTTTCGTTACCCATTGTGCTCCATTTATTTTGTCCCTCTGATTGATTCTGGCTCGTCTCTCTGTCATCAATAGTTCCCTTAATAGATCTCAGCTAGGCTTTCATTGACCAGCCTGCTCCTTCCCTTCAAAGGAATGGCTGATGTGTCTTAGCTCAATAAATAGCCTGTTTTTGTCTTATGAATGGGGAGTCTGTTGTTGCTAGAATAGTTATTCAACTCAAATGAGGAGAGAACAAACTCCTTTTGGCCTTCTTGTTATCAGCACGACAGACTGGAACTTGATGGCCGTGTCTTATCTGCTTGACTTTTTTAGAACTCATTAAACAACCTGCCACAAAACTGCTCTTGTGAAATCGCATTTTGTCACACACAGAAATGATACTTAAACAGGATATTGTAAATTAAGGCTGCGAGTCTTATTTCCATTCTTCTTTTTTGTGTGTTTTATTCCAACAGTATACCATGCATTTTTTCTGTTTGTTATATTTTGAGTTGTGTAATTATGTCATTTCTTTTTTTTCTTTCTTCCATCCAAACATGTGCCTGTCTTCTCTCCTTTCTCTGCCTTGCTCTCTATCTTATTTGATTTTCTTCTCATCATCCTTGCTGGCTTCTGCTACTTCTCCAGTAGTCAACAGGGTCTAGTTGCGAGATGCAACTTGTACAGTCGACACATGGACACCAGAGCTGTTGGACTGCTGCACAGATGCTCTCCAGGTGAGGTTTTGTAGAGGTGTTGATGGCAGTTAAAAACCACATCATGCTTGGTAAATTGTACATTAATTTAATGTACATTCTATACAATGTTTATATGAAAACAGTATAAACGCAATAACAACAATAACACTTTCACGCATCCCAAATGTTTTGATGTTGTTAAACGAATGCATAATCTAGCTTAGTGTTAAATCTGTACCTGGCCCAGTGTTTTTGTTGCAGGTATTACATTTTACATTTAAAATTTTGTCAACATTTTTTTTTTATCCAATTTTTTATTATTTTATTATTTTATTTATTATTTTATTTTATTTTTTATTTCAATAAATAGAAAATGTAAATATTTAGCAAATCACTGGTTTCTGTTCTTATTTAGCCAACCTCTCTGGAAATGTGGTTGTGTGACAGGATAATCGTAACTCATCAGCCACTGACTGATAGCCACAAACCCTAATCCAATGCACTCTGATCACGATGTCCAGTATGATACGCTGGGCTGAACTTTTTTTAGCATTGCAAAATATTGATTGAAGACAATGGCAGATAAAAGACGGCTTCAAAGTTTGGACGTACACCTTGATTACTAAATGACTTTTATTTATCCCTTTCTATTGTTTGGGAAAAATGAAACTGAAATGTATTTCATATATAGTAGATTCATCAGAGAAGGTTTGTACACTGTTGTTACTATGTTCATGTAGTCAACACTTAGAATGTATCCACTTGAGAGGTAATCCTTGTAAGAAAGTTACTGGGTTCTGTAAGTAAAGCAAATTGGCTCTTACGAGAACCACCCCACACTGCAGAGGAGCATGTTCGTCACAGTTACTGTGTCCATGAATATGCTAGGGATCACTTGGGTTTAAATTGATCTTAAGCTCTGATTAAAACACTCACCCAGTTGTGGTTGTCAGACATAACAGTGTTAGACAGTCTACATGTAAAATGTTTCTTTCATTATCATGAATGTTTGCTCTCAGAGCACTGAGCATTGGGCCACTGTTGTTAAGTCAGCGCAGTCATGTTGTTGCTAAAGCAAAAATGCAGATTATAAGAAATATTCTTTTTATGGAAAACTGTGTTTCATCAATTTCTCATTTTTATTTTTTATTATTCATCTGTTCCCTTTCCTCACATGTTAGCACCATGTGCCACCTCAGGTCTGAGAGCAGTAGGGGATCAGTCATACACATTGGGATACAGTATTCACTCACAACAAAACAGGTATTCACACATTGATCCACCGATTGTTTTAGAGGTTAGCAGGCATTAAAAAAGAAAATGAGGAGGTTTAGTGTGCAGATGTAGGGTTGAAACACCTCAAAATGTTGTCACAATTACAAAAATGCCTAAATTGGAATTACATCCCGGCAGACGGATGACTATGATGGACCGTTTCTCTAAAATGCTCGGGACATGTTTTATGCACCAGATATGCAACCACATCTCCAGACTTTCCTATTAGCTTATTGATGTAATATTAAATTCATGGTGACACATGGATTAAATGCTACATCTGATTATTGTTGGCAACACAATAACCAGTATGATGAGGGAAAAAGATCTGAAGACTTTCTGAGCCTCTTCAATTCCTTAATGGACTATAAGAATCTACGCGCAGACGACCAGAGCTTTCAGCAGCTTTGAGCAAAGTTGTACAGATATTTCACATTGTGGGTGCAGTGTTAAAGTTGTCTTCCTCAAATAACACAATAACAAGAGTAGCTGATGAGACAGTGTGACATATAATCATCATGTGGGTAGCAGAGTGACAGCAGCCCTCACACACAACCATAGATATGAAGAAATCGGATAAGAGCAATGTTCAGTTTCATATCTGCCCTTACTTTTACCTTTTTACCAACTCCCCGTTCACACAGGAACTGGCCTGTCTTGCTTCCACCTCTCTCTACATCCAAGAAGGACTGCATAAGCAGCACTACCTCTTTAGACAGGAGAGAAACACACCTGGGCGCAGATCCTGAATCCCGTCGTTCTGAAGAGGAGATGAAGGTTCTGGACAGTTCACAGCTTCCAGCAGGCAACCAGAGACCTCTGTTGTGGGAGAGTGACAGAGTTGAAGACAGGTCATGGGCTGTGGGGGTGCACTGCTACACTGCCCAGTGGGTGAAGCAGAAGCAGGAATACAGGAGCACCCGGCCCTGGTGAATGTGTGACGATTACAGACTTTAAACATTATCAAAATGTTGATGCCTAAAATGCTTTCAGACATGTTTGAGCCGACTTTCGAGTGTTTGAGAGCCCACGATGCAACAATTTCTTTGTGAAGTTTAAGTGCCAAAGTTCAGTTCAGAAAAAATACACTTCCAGTCTTTCTGGTTTTAGAAAGGCTATTATAATGGCTGCCTTAGTTGGTTTCCCAAATGAGTCATCCTTGCTAATTGAATAATTGGCCCATTAAGTCAGTGGTGTTTCTGACAGGTCCAGCTAACCCAGGTAGGTTTTTCATTTTAGTGGCCTTCACACTGAGCGTTGTTAGGTTCACTTATATTGTTGTTATTATTATTATTGTTGTATAAATTCAGGGAAACATTGCATAAGACAAAGGTTACAAACGTGATCTTGGTTCATACTGACTTTTGTATCTAATTAATTAACAAAATGAATCCCATTGAATTTATCTGAATATGTCATCGTCCATTTTCTTGTATTACTTGGACAGATTGGATAGGATGGGATAATAGCATGATACACTTTCAGTTGATCACATTTGGGTTGTTGCATTTTTTAGCAAATATTTAAAAAGAGTGATACAGTACTCTTAATTTTCCATTTCTGTTTTGCACATGTGTAACAGCTACATGCAGCCACAGACTGTAACATAACGACATGATGTACAGACAGGTTACTTGCTGTGTCCTTGACTGCTTACTTTAAGTTGAAGTGTCTTAGCGAGCGTTGGCCTGCCAGATTCTCTCAGAACTGCTTCAATGTACCCTGGCATTGATTTTCCAAGTCTCTGGAAAGATGGATCTGTATCAGTCTTCCAAAAGATTTGATGGTTATGGAGTTGAGTGTGTAACACATCAATCCAAATTCTCCCCTGTTTGACTGGGTTCAGATGTGGTGACAGGGTAGATAGTACATCAGACCATGTGTACTTATGAGATACCCTCAGGGTAATGTGTGTCAGGCAGTATTTAAAATGATAACTCATAACCCATGTTGGTGTTTTTCAGATCTTGCATGTAAGAATACAAATCCTTAAACATGCAAACACGGTCTGTAGACTGCTCTGGGTGCTAATGGTACAGGTCATCCACAAGTGCAAAGCACAGAAATAGACAATTAGTCATTTTTAATATTTGTTCAAAAATCAAACAATTAAAAAAGAACAGAAACTGTGTATTTGTGGAGAAATCAAGCAAAACATTTTGATTTATTTTGGACTTAAAGAAGTCTCCCATGGACAGAGCTTCCTGCAACTTTCCACTAACCGGAGTTTCATTAAATAATGGAAATGTTTGTGAGACAAAACATATATTTTTAGGTTTTTCAGACAGAATTGAAAACAAATTGGGTAGAAAGTTTACACATTTTTGCTGTAATGTAAACTTTAGTTAGAATGGTCCATAAAGCCAAAATACACCACGATATGTCCTTATTTTGTCATTTTTACACTTCCATGAACTTTAGTATTCCAACAGTCAGAATGGGCTTAAACCCTAATGCCAAAACCTGTTACCTGGGTTTAACTGAACTTATAACTTCTCTGTTTGATTGTTTTTTGTTGTCTTGTTTTGTTTTAGTTGAGTCCGTCTGCTTTGGAGTTCATACTTAAAAGAAGCAGAATCTGGGATTTATATGTGTCACTTAGTCTTTTCTGAATAAATTAAGCCAAATGAGAAAAAGCTAGAATTCATATCATACATTGTGTTTAAACAATGCTTCCAAACCCGGGGTGGAGGCGCAGTATGATCATTCATACAGTATCAGCAGATGGAAGACACAGAATTACTGGAATGTACACAGTGGAAACTGCCAGAGGAAGACAAGGCGGGAATGTTAACAGGACTGTTTTCTTTTTAAACACAATTCCCCACTGGTCCCATGAATTCCTGGATTTGTTTGAGGTACTTTTTTAGAGGAACCATCCTCAAAATCCAGAGGGAGAGGGCCATTTTTTACCTTGTTACTTAAGGAAGATCATTAAAGCTAAGAGGCCCCTGGCATTGATTCACATTAGTGCTGCTATTTCACTGGCACTGACGACTTCATGTCACAGAATTCACAGAAACATCCTTTCTATGCTGTACAATACAATATAAAAAAAACTTATTAATTGGCACCTGTAAACACTAAAAGTAAACTGAATGTAGTTATTCTGCTCGATGGATCAGCGTCTCTCTGGTCAGCAATTTGTTTAACAGCGACGTCCACTGCAGCTGCAAGGAATAAACCCGGGTAACTGCAATCAGATATATGACTTTTGGGACACAATAATCCCAAGAGATTTCACCTGCATCTCATAGTCATTACGATCACCATAATTACCCTCCATTGGATACCTTGGAGCTGTAAAATTAATGTATATTATCCATGTTGTCCACTTGGTCAAAACCCACAACCTAATGTTACTTTTGTTGCTCCTCTCCCAGACACATCTGACCAATAAGCGGACTAAACATTCTCACATAGTTTATGGTGACACAATGCAGCTCGTTCTCACCAACTAATTCAGAGCAGAATAAACGAACTAACACATGAAAAGAGCCTTAAATGAAATCAACAAAATTTGAAAAACATGGCAACCTGATCAACTCAACGTAAAGGATTAGAAAATGATTTTAACCCAGAAGGCGTCACGGCTACAAGATGATCTTGGTATAAAAATGCAGTCAGCAAACAGTTTTTGCAGACTGTGTGCAGCAACACAGCACCTCACATATATCCCATGATACTGATGAGTAGTGTTGGTTATAAAGACTGTTCTGATAAACAAAACTCTGATTCCCTTTGGAGCGGGTGTAACGCTGAGTTGTTTGCAGAGCTTAAATAGTTTTTCAGACTTTTTTGTATATCTCGTGTATTCGCTACGAGGACTCAAAAATGTGATTTAAAAAACACAATATTTCGACCCTCTTGCACTGCACACCAAGGCACAGGCTTATGAACTACTGGCTTTGTGTCTTATGTGTGGGGACACTTTGCTTGAATGGCTGCAGCCACTGCAGTAACAAAACTGACTGGAACTTAAATACCAATTACTTCATAACTGGGTTGATGCCGTTCTCCTCACCTCTTTAATGTGCTTGGTGTGCAGAGGATAGTAGAAAATATATTTGTTCTGTCCAGCTAAATACAAGTTAAAGAAATGTTCCAGCACACCACAACAAACTGTGAGAGGAAGGTGGAGGAAACCTAAAACATGCAAACTCAATACAGAAACCTCAACTGGGATTCAAACTAAGAACCTCTTTGCTACAAGGCAGGAATAGGAGGAATACAAAGAACATTAAAGACTAAAGCAACTCAAATTTCCTAAAGGCATGAAGCTATTTAAGTCACCAGTCAGTTTATTCAGGTTTCTCACCGTTGCTTTCTGAATATCTCACACTCTGACCTTTCAAGCAAAGAGCTCATTGTTGCTGAACTTGTTTTTCCCCTTTCATGCAGCAGAGGAAACTCTGAGAGTGAGATCTGCTCTCAGCGAAATGTTTGCCTTATGTGTGGAGGTTTTCTGTTAGAGCCAAATGTAGCTGCTTCTTAAAAACTAGTAACAAGTGGTAAAGTTACAATCTTGGACTCAAAAATTGTGTTGGTACAGTATATTAGTATATTAGTATATACACTTACTGGCCACTTTGTATAGCTTGCTGGTATCAGGATGATTGTTCTGAAGGATGAAGCCTTCAGAACTGTCTTACTTCTCCATGGTACAGGGGGCTGAATAATAATAATAAGAAGATCTTTATCTGTCTTGATAAGTTTGTCAAGATTCTTTCCATTTGGAATAATATGAAACTAAAGTAAAAGTGCTGTTTTCAGATTTTAAATGGTAAATGGCCTGTATTTATATAGCGCTTTACTAGTCCCTAAGGACCCCAAAGCGCTTTACATATCCAGTCATCCACCCATTCACACACTGGTGATGGCAGCTACATTGTAGCCACAGCCACCCTGGGGCGCACTGACAGAGGCGAGGCTGCCGGACACTGGCGCCACCGGGCCCTCTGACCACCACCAGTAGGCAACGGGTGAAGTGTCTTGCCCAAGGACACAACGACCGAGACTGTCCAAGCCGGGGCTCGAACCGGCAACCTTCCATTACAAGGCGAACTCCCAACTCTTGAGCCACGATTAGAGAGGTCTCCTCTTAAATTTTGTGATTTTTTTTAAACAAGTTAAAATGTCGCACTTGTTGGCGATGCCATCGGTGTAAAAAGACAACCTCACTGTAGCGGTTCAAGTTTAGCACTTCATTATTTTGTATGACGGACAGAAGCTCGCTGGCCGTTTCCAACTGTTTTCAGTCTTAATCCTAAAGTAAGCCAAACCAAATCCCAGCATTGTAACATCACAAACATCTCAGTGAAAACACAATTCCCCAAGTTTATTTGCAGTAACCAATATTTCTATTTACAGTGTCCAACTATTATTAACATTTGAGCTACGACGTCAGGGAGTGTGTGTGTGTCGGGGGGGGGGGGGTTAAACTTTGTACACAGCAGCTCGATCTTTTGACAGCATAGTTAGCTTTTATAATTTACAGTTTGAAGGAAGTTGAGCCGTTCCAGAAACCACCAAGCTACCATTCCTTCTGCTGAGTCCAAGTGTGGGGAATCTATTCAGCCTCGTGGAGTAAGGCGAGGTAGACGTCAGACTGGAGGAAGCGTGGGTAACAGTCTGTGTCCAGAAGTGAGTAGATGCGTTTCTGTGCGTGGGACAGAGAGCTACGAGAGGGAGCCTGCAGCAGCTGGATCGTCAGGTCTCTGGTCGTACTGTCCAGATTTACCTGCAATAGGACAGTGATGGTGCAATAGCCACTTAAAGTCAATTCAAATACTATATGGAAAGACAAGCCGAAAAATAAATAGATAAAAATTGGCGTCAAAATCGAGTTTGACTTAAGAGTATTTGTTTTCTCCTCAGCCTCGATTACCAGGTAGCACAATAATGAGTGCTGCATCATCAACATTGTTCCAGTAGAGACGGTTTGGAATAACTTGAGGTTACTGAAGGAAAACCAGCCAACAAATGCTCAAAGTCTCCAGGTGAAGAGTTCATGAAGATGGTGGAAAGAATGAGGAGCATGCAAAGCTGATAATGAACAAAGTTCCCTTAAACAGATAATTATTAGCATGCGTCTGTGACAAAGAAATGTATAGAACTTGTGCAAGCTTTACAGATAACCTCACAGCCTCAGAATTCCTTCTGCAGCTTTACATCTGCCAAGATCAGCGAGTGTCACAGTACAACAGTGCAGGATTTCGGTGTGCGAATACTCCCAGAACAGAGGAGCACTTTCCAAATCATGTTGACATGGCACTGTGATCGTGTTTGTTTTATTCATTTTTCCACCTCAGAATTGAGCTTCAGTACAAACTTGATGCGTTTGGGTTTTCCAAATCTGCTGCTAGCACATGTTAACTTACAAGATTCATAGTTATGAACACAAAAGGAAGCTGCTTTGTAGCTTATGCTCCTTTTACTTTGTCAACACTGTTTCTTTGTTCTTCAGTGTAGAAATCTCCAAATTTTTGACGATATGGTGGGCTACAACTTCTTGGGCTTTGCAGATAACCTTTATCTTGTAGTGGTTCGGTGTTAAGTCATGTCATTTAGGCCTTCCTACTTTTTCAGTGAGTATTCTTGGAGCTCGCCAACATAAAGCACAGTTTGATTCCTGGACGGTCATCTTTCCGTTAATAAACTTTAATAAGTGCAGTTCTCTTCTTCCTGGCTTAAAAACCTTCAACTAGACAGAAAAGATCACTTTGTTAAAGTTCCAGTGCTAATGCTAAAATAATGGCATCCCCTGAATCACATCAAAAGTCATACTGTTCACACTCATACTGACATTTTACTTTTGGACTTTACCTACTGTGCACCTTGCTATAGCTGCAGTATAAGACAGTGGAGCTGGACTCCTGGGAAACAAGGGACCTACTGGAGAAGCAAATGAATATTTTTTTCCTCCACAGTATTTGGTCCTTTAAGTTCAGCTACTGTCACACATATAATCTCATGCTGTGGGGAAAAGGCCCCAATAAGGGAAAAAAAAAAAAAAACAAAACAACAGCTCCACATGAATGCAGCTATTGATGGAACGCTATAACGTCAAATCTGAACCACCCACACAAGCTTCTTGATAACACAGAGAGACTCTGAGCAGTAAAACAGTTGGCAATGCAGAAAGAGGGAAAAATAAACAGGACTTGAATTACAATTCCTGTTCCAAGAAGACAGGCTGCCCAGTGCAACCAGTAAGACTGAGTATGAACATGTGTACCTCCCGGGGGGCTCCTGGCTGGATATAGGTTGCGCAGATGTCTTTGGCTCTCCTTTGCAGGCTGAAGTTGGTGGACGAATGTTTGTACCGCTCACAGGCTTGATAGAACTGCAGGTTCTCCTCGCTGAACTCAGAGCGCAGGAATGCTCCAAATACTGAAACACCAGCTGCCAGGAAGAGGACGACAAGTGAGCCTTAGCACAACATCAATTTATGTATCTTATAGCACAGAACACAGAAACACTTTATCATGCCTGAAAGGAAGACTAGAGAAAGCAACCTAGCTCTACTCTTTCTCCATGTGAACGTCCTACTGAAGGTTAGAAATGTCATGAACATACCACATGATCGCTTTCATTTCTGGCATGGTCAAATGTGATGTCTTGTTATTCCTCCCTACCATCGAGAGGATCGTACCACTTATACAAACTCATTAACTGCTAGATGGGGTTTATAATGGCTTCTAAACAGCTGTTCACCTTTCCCCCCCTTTTGTCATTTAAAGACAAGAGATAAACACTAGTTAAATGCAGGATCTGGGTCTGCTGCTAACAGCCACTGGATTTCTTTCATTCGCAGCTCCAGCTAGAACAACGGCTTTATACTTATTAACATTTTTCCATTACAACCTAAAAATGGTAATAATACCTTTACATTTATAATAAATGGTGAACCATGACCACTGACTGAGTCCCTTGTGGTCATTTGCTATGACGTGCACTAAGACTAGAGTTCTGTTATTGTCAGGAGTCAACTTTTTATTTTATTCTTTTCAACATTTAATTGTTAATTATGGTAAAATATTAATTATAAACAATGACTGTGGTGAGTCAATTTGAAGTAATAGTGTTCAACTCTGAACAAGCTGGGGGACACGGAGGAGCCGTTTTAAAAGCAAGATGATAATCTGACATTTAGACATTTTTGTGACGCAACCTGACATCATCTCTTTTCTTTTAATCACAGCAGGACTCAGACTGCATGGATCAGTTATGTTAGCTTTGCAGGTTTTATTTTTAATTTAAGAAATTCTGTATCTGCATTGCAGTGTTTTCTTTGTTTGTGTGTGTGTGTG